CAGCCGTCATCCTCTTCGTGGCCGTGGTTGCCACCACCATCTGTTGCTTCCTCTGTTCCTGCTGCTACCTGTACCGCCGGCGCCAGCAGCTGCAGAGCCCATTTGAAGGTACCTGTGTGGGGCTGGGTGTGGTGAGCCTGAGACAGGCTGGGCTGAGCCCCACGGTGGGCACTGGTTTCAAGGATGCATGCCAGCATGTAACCCCAGAGACGGGAGCATGAACCTTGGACTGTGGTGCCGTGGTGCACATGCACATGGCTCCCAGGAAGTGCATGGGGTAGGGTCTGCAGTAACAGCCTTTATCAGGAAGGCGCTGCTCCGCGTGCCTGAGTTGGTGGGACCACACACATGCCCAAAGCTGGTGGGCGTGGGAACGGTGACACCATGTGGGAGGGAAGGGCTGGGGAGGATCCCCTTGGGGTTGGCTGCAAGATTCCAGCCCTGGAGCTGGCGTCTCCTTGCCCAGGTAGGACATTCCCCAGGCTGTGCTCTCTGGCTCAGGGGAGCGAAGTGCTAAACCCAGACTGACCCGCCGGGGCCACCTTCAGGGTCCCTGCTGGACCCTGCGGAGCAAGGTCTGGAGAGAGGCAGCGTGGCCAGCCTGGACCCTCCCTACCTTGGGCTCTGGGCGGGAGGGGGCGCTTCCTAGAGAGGCAGAGCTCTAAGTGCCTGTCTTTCTCCCCCACCTAGGCCAGGAGATTCCAATGACAGGCATCCCAGTGCAGCCAGTGTACCCGTACCCCCAGGACCCTAAAGCCGGCCCTGCACCCCCACAGCCTGGCTTCATGTACCCACCTAGTGGTCCTGCGCCCCAGTATCCACTCTACCCGGCAGGGCCCCCTGTCTATAACCCTGCAGGTAAGTGAGCCCTCTGCTCCTGCCCCCCCACTCCACTGCCTCTCCCAGACTTCCAGGCCGGCTCTGCTCCATGGATGCTGCATGCCCTGGGGTAGGGGGGTCCTTTGCACTTCCTGTGCCACCCTGACCGTCGTTCTGTCTCCTTGGCTTGCAGCCCCTCCCCCGTACATGCCACCCCAGCCCTCCTACCCGGGAGCCTGAGAAGCCAGCTGTGTCTCTGCCGCCCCTCAGGGATGCCTCCCTCCTGTACCTCCATCCGGCCCTGGGGGTGGTCGGGGGCCTCTCCTGGCCAAGCCCTGAGACCTTCTGGGAACAGGGCCCCAGGGAGGAGGAACAGGAGCTGAGCTGGAACTTGGCCATGAATGAGGGGAGGCTGGGGAGGGCTTGGGTGCATAGACGGTTTTCACAGGAGGTGAGGGGAAGACAGGAAAGCCTGGGCCACAGCTCTGCCTTCTCACAGTCCTTCTGCTCGCCCCCACGACCCCAGCCAGGAAGGCTGGGCCCTCCCGTCTGCCCACTGCGGGCTGGGCGGGGCTGGGTGGGGCTCCATCAGCTGCGGCAGAAGCCCTCCTGGCTGCCCCGCTGGCAGGGCTCTGTATGGCTGGATTAAAGCTCTAAAGACAGAACTCCTGTCGGTCGCATCATTGGCTTGTCCACCCCTCCCGTACACTGTCTTCAGCTGGGCCCTCACTGCTGCCAGCTCCATGTCCCCTAAGCAAGGGAGGCAGGACCAGGCTGGGGGCACAGGCAGAAGCACCCAGGCTGAGGGCTTCTCAGTTCCCAGAGCTGGGGAGGTGGGTCGTGCTGCTTCCCAGAAGAGGGCGCTCGTTTGCCTTCCAGAGTCCGCACATGGGCTCTCGAGCTGCCCGAAGGCACGTTACCCGTCCGCTACACTTGGACTCCCACTTGGGCCCCACGCCCATCTGACCGACGGGTCCCCCACCGGCTCTAGACGGTGAGGCCTGGTCTTCCTGACCAGCAGCTGAGAGAGACTGGTCCGCCCAAGGGGCCGGGAAGGGCGCTGTCAGCTGCCTTGGGCCATAGAGGGAGCCCCAGACCGGAGGCCTCCGGCCCAGACGGGGCCCAAACCGGGCCAGGCAGGTGCCTGCCCCACCCCCACCTCCAGCCTTGCTCCCTGAGGAACAGGCCTTGTGCCCTCGGCCCTGTCTGGTGACAGGAAATTTTATAGTTTTGGATTCAAGTGAGGAAAGTGCCAGGTCAGCTTGGAAAGCCACCTCGCTGGCCGTGTCCCCGCTCCCAAGGCCCTCAGCTCGGCCCCCTTCCCTCCGCCCGCAGGTACTCCTGCCCACTGCAACCTGCCTTCCCTCTGGGTCTCCTCAGGCCTCTGGGCCCTGCAGCCTCGTCTGTGTGGCCACTGTGCTCACCAGGGCCCCTGGAGGCCCTTGTCACACAGCCTGGAAGGGGCGCTCCTGGGCCAACTGCCAAGGGGCCAGGGTCAGACCTCTGCCCCGGACCTGACCCAGACCTGCTGCAGGGGACGAGCTGAGAGGTGGGAGGGGGCCATGAGGGTCCTGGCGTCCAGTCTGCTGGTTCTGCCCTCACAGGTCAGGAGAGAGAGTCTCCGGGTCAGCTCCAGGTCTGCAGTGTTCCCCACCCCTATCTCCCCTGAAGCTGGGAGGCAGAGGAGGTTGGCAGGATAAGGTTTTTGAGCTTCTCTAAGAAATGTGTCAGTGGATGCGAGGCCACAGCAGCCAGAATTCATTATCCTCAAATCAACAGCCTGGGGCCAGTTACAGACTGCCGAGCAGCCTGGGATGGGTGGCACCACTGCCCCACCAAGGTGGACGCCCCCTCCAACATTTCCAACCAACTAACTCTGCAAAGCACTGAAAACAGAGAATTTTAAGGCAAAGGGGGAGAGGGTGACAGAGTAGAGCTTTCATGTACCGGGAGCAGGGAGGAGGCCCCTCAGCCCCCGAGTTTTTAAGATGGCAACACCCATGTGTCTCCGGCGACCCCAGCTCACCTGCTCGTCACCGGGCACAAGGCGCAGCTGTTCCCCACTAGCACCCCTGAAGCCGCTGTCTCCCGACAAGGTGGTGTGGGGGGAGAAGCGGTGGCCCTCGAGGCCTGGGTCTGCAGCGGTGTGAGCGGGGTCCTGCCAGGCTGGATTGAGGACCCGGAGGGGGTCTGGGAGAAGGGGAGCAGTTCACACAAAATCACGGGCCTGCATTCTGGGGGCAGCAGGGCCTCCTCCCGTGGTGGGAGGCTGCGTTCAGAGGGAACAGCAAGGAGAGAGGGCGGAGGTACCGGGCGATTCCGTGGGGCCGAGGGAAAGGTTAGCAGGAACCCGAGCGCTGGGGGAGGCGGCCGGCGGGGGTAAAATGAAGGCAGCTGGGAAAGCCCATGTGCGGGCGGCGTGGGGTAAAGCCGGTTAGAGGCCTGCAGGAGGCAGCCAAGAGACGGGACGGTGCGTGGTCGGATAGGGCACGTGGAGCACAGGGCGTGGTGGCGGAGGGGCGACCCCTACCCCAGGCCAGCAGCCTGCCCCCCGACACAGGTGGCAAAGCCCACACCTGCGGGTTCAGGTCCTGAGACCTGAGGCGCGAGGGAGGCCGGCATGTGGCTCTCCCGGATGGATGGTCTGACCCGCGTTTGGAGCTTCGGCGTCCCAGAGAAGCCGCCTGAGTGGCCACGGCCCCGAGCTGCAGCCTGGGCCTCCTGTGACAGTAAGTGGGACGAGGAGCCAGCCCTGGAGCCCCCTCACCAGGGCGGGAGACTCAGAGAGACCCCTGGACGGGGAGAGGGGTGGACGGCGGCCCCTGGGAAGCCTCCTGGTCCGGGCCGGTGGGAGACTGGGTTTGAGGCCGAATCCACCAGCTGTCAGGTCATCCGCACCCTTTGCGCTCTTCCACCGTCGTTTATTCCCTCCTGCGCCTTCCCCCGGCCTCCGACGGGCAGCCGGGTGCATAGTGGGGGCCCAGGCCGAAGGGCAGGTGGGCAGCGGGCGGACGCGCCGCCCTGCCTTGCGAGCCCTCC